AGAGTACAGAGTGTCACACAACAGTCTGTACTGTTCTTGTGCTCCGAACCTAAAACTGTGTTGAAAATAAAGCCTTAAAAAATACCTATCTTAAGTATATCTCGAAGGAGATAGTGTCTTTCATGCCTATGGTGTCTGTGGGGGAGGCCTAGGAGTGCTGCGGCTAGGTGGCTCTACATGGTTCTGGACTCTGTGAAAAAGAGAGCATGGAAAGGTACCTGGGAAGGCAAGATAGCTCAGTGGATAAAGGAAAGTTACTTGTCACCAAGCCTGATGACCTGAGTTCAGTCTCTGGGATCCCCTTGATGGAAGGAGAGAACTAACTTCCACAAGTTGTCCTCTGACCTCTACATCCGCCCTGTGACATGTGCATGCTCCCCCATCCACTGACAAAATAAATAAGTAAAATGTACTTAAGTGTATGTTTGTGTTTTTTAAAGAAACCCTTCTTCGAGACTGTATATGTGTGTACACAGAGAGGTCAGAAGTCAATGTCAAGTGTCTTCCTTGATCACCTTCTTTCTCAGATTTAGCTAGGTTAGCTAGTCTCTAACCCCAAGGATCCCCAGTGCTGGGATCACAGGTGTACATTGCTGTATCTGACTTATATGGGTACTGGGGATCTAAACTCAGGTCCTCAGGCTTACACAGCCAACACTTTACTGACTGAGCCACCTCCCCAGCCCCAATATCAGGCTTTTTGTAATATATTTATTAGTACCAAGGCAAAACTCTCTTTTCAAACCTGTTTAACATTAGCAAATTGGGTTCAGGCGTTGCCAACCTGGGTCCTCATGGCCATCTCTGATACTTTTATAATAAAAGATTCCAGGCAAGGGTTCAATTATACAGGATTTGAGAAAAATATCCCAATAGACAAGACCAAAGACCTGACATGAGGCAACTTAAGGGAGTGGGCATTTTGGCTTACAGTTCAAGGGGAAACAGTCCTTCATGGCATGAAAGATATGGTCGCACCTGACCACATTGCATTCAGTCAAGAGAAGAGAGTACATAGGAAGTGGGGTAGGGCTATAGAACCTCAAGGCCTACTCCCAGACACTCACTTCCTTCAGCAAGGCTCCATTGCCTAAAGGTTCAATAGTCTTCCAAAATAGTGTCACCTGCTGGGGACCAGGTGTTCAAACACATGAGCTTATGCGTGACATTTCACATTCAAATCAAAACAGCCCCACAAGCAACCTGGAGCTTTTCTTTTTTCCTTTTTGGTATTTCAAGACAGGTTTCTTTGTGTAGCCCTGGCTGTTGCTCACTCTGTAGACCAGGCTGGCTGCAGACTCAGAGATCCACCTGCCTCTGACTCTGAGTGTTTGGGATTAAAGGTGTGCTCCACCGCATTCAGCTAACCTGGAGCATTTCTATGGCTCTTTTTTACATCACATCAAATATTTAGTGCTTGCCCAGGGGCCTGCAATGGTGTCGCATTCCTTTAATCCCAGCACTTGGAAAGCAGAGACAGGAGGCTCCAACCTGGTCTACAAAGCAAGTTCCAGGACAGTAAGGACTCTTAAACAAACAAAAAGACTTACCTAGGCTGGTGGGGTAGGCCTTTCACCCCCAGAGCTATTTAGGAAGCTGAGACAGACAAATTTCAAAGGCAAGGCCAACCTAGTATACAGAATGAGTTCAAGGCCAGCTTGACCAATTTGATGAAACATTGGCAAAATAAAAAAATACACACATCCCCTCTCAAAATCTAAGAACTGAGGATGTAGCCCAGTGACAGGGCACTTGCCTGGCACTCAGAGAGCCCTTGGTTTGATCCCCAATACCTTTATCAATCAGTCAATCAATTATCTATATGCCAGATGTGGCATTGCCAGTCTGTAGTCTCAGCACACGGGAGGCTGAGGAGGATGAGTTCAAGTTCATGGCCAGCCTGGGCTCCAAAGGAAGGTCCTTTCTCAAAAAACAAACCATATAACAAAAAAGCAAACACCTTTCAAGTCCATTTTATATTTGATTATTATTTTGCTTTATTTTTATTTTATTTGTGTGTGTGCAGATGTGCTTGCTCTCACATGTGTATGTGGAGACCAGAGGTTGATACAGGATATCTTCTTCAGTAGCTCACCTCTAAAAAAATTTAATGGCTGAAGAGATGGCTCAGTCCTTAAGAACACTGGCTACTCTTTCAAAGGACCCAGGTTTAATTCCCAGCACCCCCACGGCAGCTCACAACTGTCTGTAACTCCATTCCAGGGGATCTAATGGCCTCTTCTGGACTCTGCAGGCACTACATGCATGTGCTATGCAGACATATATGTAGGCAAAACACCCATAAATGTAAAATACAAATAAATAAATAAAAATTAAAAAAGAGTGCATACTGCTCTTGTAGAGGCTCAAATTCAATTCCTAGCACCCAAATCAGGTGGCTCATGATGGCCTATAACTCTAACACAACACCCTCTTCTGGCTTCTGTGGGCAATTGCATATACAAGCACATACCTACACACAGACAGATAAATACTTTTTTTTTTTTTTGAAACAGGGTTTCTCTGTGTAGCCCTGGCCATCCTGGAACTCACTCTGTAGGCCAGGCTCACCTCAAACTTAGATACACTGCCTTCACCTCCACAGTGCTTAGGATCAAAGGTGTACACCACCATCACCCAGCGATAAATACTTTTTTTAAATTTAAATTTTATTATTGTCAGTGTGTGTGTGTGTGTGTGTGTGTGTGTGTGTGTGTGTGTGTGTGTTACATAATATTACACACATGTGGAAGTCAGAGGACAACTTTGTGGAGTTTGTTTTCCTCTTACAGCTTTCCAGGGGTTCTGGGGACTCAAACTCAGTTGTGTGGCAAATGTCTTTCCTCCCTTAGCCATTTCATTAGCCTCTCCACCTTAGTGTTTGATTGAGCATGGAGCCTGCTGACCATTGAGTTCTTGGGAGTCTCTGTGTCTTCAAGTCTTTATGCTTGCACAGAAAGTGATTTACTGACTGAGCTATCTCTCCAGCCAGAGGACTGATTTTAGATGACAGTTGTTATAAAGAAGGGAAGTGGGGCTTCCCTGAGAGAATGATGATGGGGTTGATCTTGAATGATACAAAGATCTGCATAGGATGGAGCAAAGAGGTAGCACCGGGAACCCAAGACGGTGCTAGCAGTGGGTGGTGTGTGAAGGATCACTCTGCTCAAATAATCAGAATCAGCTTAGCTTATTTGCTATGAAGAGATGCATGCATCTTCATTGTGCATAAAGTCTTGATTGAGCTTTTAAAATTATATGTATTTATTGGGGGGTAGGGAGCTTGTGTAGAGATCAGAGGAGAACTTTTTAGAAACCAGCTCTCTCCTTCAGCCATGTGGGACCCAGCCATTGAACAGGAGGAGCCTTCAGCTGCTGAGCCATCTTGCTGGCCTAAACCAAGAATAATAGTAGTTCTAGCACTCAGACAATGTTCCTGATACATCCCTTACCAACTCAAGTGTTCCATTGGTCTTTGGACACCAGCCATTTTCAATGGCTTGTTCCTGTTTGTCATCTGCGTGGGAATCCATATTATGTACTCCGTGTCTTGCTTAATAGTCTCTGTGCTACCTTCATGTTGACATTTTTGTTTGTTTTTGACTAAAGCAGTTCACTACTTTTTATTGCTGTGGAGTAGGCCACAAATACTATACCTGCGTATTCCATAAATATGCCATAGGCTATTCATAGTTAGTCTACAGATATTTGCAAATACTTAAAAATATTTTATTATTACTGTGCATATGCATGCATGATGTGGGGTAGGGTGTGTGTGCCCGGGTTGGTTTGTAGAGGTTAGACAACATTGTGGGATTAGTTATCTCCATCTGTCTTTTTTTGGGTCTGGAAGATCGAACTCAGGTTGTTAGGCTTGCTCAACAAGCAGCTTTACCCACTGAACTCTCTCACTGGCCCACGTTTGTGGATACTTATTTCTACTTTTCATAGTGTAAAGGATGCTTTTATAAGCTTTTGTACATCTATCTAAGAGCTTCTATTTGACCAGGGCTTAGAGCATCACAACAGAGATTGATTTTGTCCCTGGGGGGCCTTTGGTAGTGTCCAGTGACAGTTTGAAGATTTAATTTTACTAAGTTTTCTTTCTTTCACCCCTCCCTCCTTCCTTCTCTCTCTCTTTTTTTTCTGTATTTCCTTAAACTATTTTTTTTTTCAGAAAGGGTCTTACTACAGATCCCTGGCTTGAACTTGTTATGTAGACCAGGCTGGCATTGAACTCACAGAGATCCACCTGCCTCTGTCTTCTGAATGCTGAGATTGAAGGCATGTGCCTCCACACCTGGCCCTTTCCATATTTTTTGTTTTGTTTTTTGAGACAGAGTTTCTCTGTGTAGTTTTGGTGCCTGTCCTGGATCTCACTTTGCCTCCCGAGTGCTGGGATTAAAGGTGTATACCACCACTGCCCAGCCCCTTTCTATATTTTTAAAGACATTTAAAGACATTTAAAGGGATTCATGTATTTCAAGCTGGCCTCCAGAGCTCTGTGTAACCATGAGGATGACCTTGAACCCCTGCCTCCACCTCCCAAGTGCTAGGATTGTAAGTGTGGGACACTATCCCCAACTTCGATAGAGTTTCTTTTGTTCTGTTTTGTAGACAGGGTCTTCCTGTGTAAGCTCATCATGCCCTTGGATTTTTGATCCTCCTTCCTTTGCCTGCTGAGGGCTAGAATTATAGGTGTGAGCCTCTACACCTGGTTTCCAATATCATTTTTTGGTTGTCACATCTTTGGACAGCAGATGCCACCAGTATCCAGTGAGTGGAGGCCTGAGGTATTGCTGAACATACACCCTCACTACAAAGAGCTATGTCATTCTGAATGTGAGCAGAAGCATTGCTAGTTCAAAGTTCAGTTTGGAGGTCTTCGGATGCTATGATCAAGCTTACATCCATCTGGCAGGTGATGGGGAGGTTATGGATGATGGCTCTGGAGTGGTGTGAGTTCCATCAGTGGCTCCAACAAGACCTGGCATCCATAGTTAGACAAGATCAGCTTGCTGGACCACCCCCATCGTCCTCTGGCTGACTACCCGTTGGAGGGCACCCTGCATATCCCGATTGCGCAGTGTGTAGATGGCTGGGTACAACAGCGGTGTGAGGTTTATGTAGATGAGGGACACCAACTTATCTTCCTCCAAGGAGCGGCTGCTCAGGGGTCTGGCATACATGGCTGTAGCACAGCCATAGTGGAGCACAGCCACGGTGAGATGTGATGCCACCGTGTTGAAGGCCTTGCGGCGGCCAGCACCATCCCCCACCCCCAGGATGACCACCAGTACCCTGGTGTAGGACAGCAAGATAAGGATTAGGGGCAGCACCAGCAGAAGCATGCAGGCTGCCAATAACACATGTTCCTGAAGGTCCCGGTTCCCACAGGCCAGAACCAACACAGCTGGGAGGTCACAGAAGACGTGATTGACAAGGCCACCACGGCAGAAAGGCAGCTGGAATATAGCAGTGGTGAGGCCTAAGGCTAGGACAGAGCCACCCAAACAGCAGGAAGCTAGAAGGGCCCAGCAGAGCCCAGTGGTCATGAGCTGAGGGTAGTAGAGAGGGTAGCAAATAGCCAGGTAGCGGTCCAAGGCCATAGCTGCCAGCAGCAGGCACTCAGAGCCACCCAGAGCCACAAATAGACCCATTTGGGCAGCGCAGGTAGAAGGTGCCACTGCCTGGCCACCAGGAGGCAGGAGGAACCCAGCCAGCATTTGGGGAGTGAGTACCAGAGTATAGGCCACCTCTACTGCAGACAGTGAACCCAAGAAGAAGTACATGGGTGTGTGCAGAGTGGGTTCTGCCAGGGCCAGACTCAGAATGAGCAGGTTCCCAGCCAGGGTGACCAAGTAGAGTGGCAAGAGGAGAGAGAATAGCAGCACACGGAGGCCCTGGGGCCACCCTGAGAAGCCTAGGATAACAAATTCCTGTGGTGCCGTCCAGTTGGGCTCAGACCAGTGGCTCTGGTTGGGGCCTGGTGGAGGACAAACCAGAGAGAAGCATCGTGGTGGACATCTTCCTCCCAAGATCCTTTATCTTCTCCCCGACCAAGAACTAACTCTGTGTCAGCTCTTTATAGCCTGCCCTATGATGGTTCATTTTATTTTATTATTTTTTAATTATATGTATCTATGTGTGTGTGTGGGTCAGAAGAGTACTGGATCCCCTGGAGATGCAATTACAGGCTATTGTGAGCTGCCCAGAGTTGGTGCTGGCAGCAGAACTTGAGTCTACCAAGTCATCCAAGGGTCTTTATGAGCAATAGCCCTGTGTATATGTGGATTAAGCCATGGTGACTCCTAAACCTGTCTAGGGACTGAGCCCTCCTCTTCGCTCTACACTGTGTTCAAAGTGGGGGGGGGCACCCCCCCCCGCCCCAAGCATTTCTACTCACACACTAAATTCCATCTGGTCCTTCTTTGACTTGATTCATGGTTTTCAAGCCAAACCTCCCTTTCTTCTGGACACAGAGCTGACCAGGCTTGGAAATAGGTATCCCTGGATCTCTCCAGTGCCTTCAAGTAAAATGAGGGGCCACATCCTGCCAGAAGAACCTCATTCCACATTTCCTTCTATCTCATGACCCTCATTTTCTCTCTCCTGGATGGTCACAACTGATTCTAATGGGTCCGTTCCCTCCCAGTAAGAGTCTTAAATCACATTTTAACATCTGTTGTGTATGTGTGTATGTGCTTGTGCGTATGCACATATGCATGCATGTTTGTGTGTGCATGGGTGTGTGGAGGCCACATGTCAACATCAGGTGGCTTCCTTAATCTCTCTTCATCTTATTTTTTGAGACAGGGTCCCTCATTGAAACTGGGGCTTAGAAATTCTGCTAAACTGCCTGGCCAGTAAGCCCCATGGATCCTCCTGTCTCTAGCTCCACCATCCTTGACATTATAGGTGTGTGCCATTATGCCTGGCTTTTTAACATGGGTTCTGGGACTTGAACTCAGGTCCTCATGCTTGCAAACAAGCACTTTACTGACTGAGTTATCTCTCCAGCTTCACATTTTATTTTATTTTACTATGAGACAAGGTCTCTATGTAGCTTAAGCAGACTTTGAGTTTCGTGATCCTCCTGCCTCAACCTCCCAAGTGCTAGGTTTACATGTCCTTCTAATGACTTCACCACCAACTACAGTGAGCTTTTATCAAGAACAGATGTCAGGTCCTTGCTTCATCATCTAATCCTTGCTTTTTATATAAATTCACTTTCCTTAACTCAGCTCTCAATATCCTTCATGATGTTGAGTCCAGCTTCACTGCTCATCAGTCTCCTCTCCATACCATGACCTGTTAGAAGGTCTCCAGTCCCACATGCTCTCTATCTTTCCACCTGCTGTTTTCTTTCTGGATTTCTTTGGAGACTTCATTTTGTCTATCTGGAAATTTTTAGGCTGAGTGTGTAACCTTGCAGTATAGAATTTATCTAGAATCCCCCAGTGAGGGGCTGGGGTGTGGCTCAGTAGTAGAGCACCAGCCTAGAATCCCCTAGTGAGGGGCTGGGGTGTGGCTCAGTGGTAGAACACCTGCCTAGAATCCCCCAGTGAGGGGCTGGGGTGTGGCTCAGTGGTAGAGCACCTGCCTAGAATCCCCCAGTGAGGGACTGGGAGCATGGTTCTGTGGCAGAGCACTTGTCTAGCAGGTGTGAGGCTCTGGATGCCATCCCCAACACTGCCAACAAAACAAAACAAAACAAAACAAAACAAAACAAAACAAAACAAAACAAAACAAAACAAAACAAACCAAACTATAACACACATGCACACATGCACGCGCGCACACACACACACACACACACACACACACACACACACACACACACCTATAGACTGTCTGGAAAAGTTCTATTTAATCTCCAAGGCTGCTGTACTTATATGCCTGTCCACAGGCAGGCTGGATGTCACTCTCTGAAGCTACAGTTGCCACAGCAACACCATTAACCTCAGCCTTCTGGGATGGACAGTCTGAGCTATGTCTGTGCAGCTTGCTGAATTACTGAAAGTCGAGGGATCAGTTTAATGTTCCTCAATCCTCACACATTTGTGCTGCACACCTGATCACCCTTTGTTATCTCCCCATCCTGGGTTTCCATCCCTGGAACCTCAGAGAGCCCCCAGCCTCACCGTTTCCTACAGCAATTGCTCCAGACTCTGCTGGATTCTCCCTAAACGTGTTCTTGGCACTTCTCATCACTGAGACCATCAGCTTCAGCAGGGATGTGCAACGAATCACTTTCCTATTCAATACCTCCCTGAACTATTACAATCGATCCATTGCCACACTCAGCTACCAAAGGTCATGTTAACTATGACATGCATTTTCTCTCCTTTCTGTTCTTATCCTCCATGCCTTAACATTTTCCTTCACTGTTACCATCACCATTTTCATCATCACCATCACCAGCACTATCATCATTTTTTTGTGATGCTTCATATAGAATCCAGGGCCCTTTCTGAGTGCTAGACCAATGCTCTACCATTGATTGACATCCTTACCCCCTAATAATTTTGGGACAGTTATGAAGCAGCAATAAAAATAATTTTATGGTTGGGGGTCACCACAACATTGAGGAACTGTATTAAAGGATCGAAGCATTGGGAAGGTTGAGAACCACTGCTCTAAATCCTTCTGCTGCAGCCCCCTGAATATTGGGAGTATAGGTATTTGTTACTGCATCCAGATATTTTTAATTTTTTGAGGAGCCTAAAGTATCATTAGAGGCCAAGCAAGCATTCTGCCATTGAACCTTTTCTCTAGCCCCCCTTGAAAACTAACTCAAGCTCTGGGGCTGAAAAGAGGGGCCTGAGGGAAGAGAAAGTAATGCCTTGTGAGCATGAGGACCTGAGTTCAATCCCCAGGACCCATTTTGTTGTTGTTGTTTTGTTTTGTTTGTTTGTTTATCCAGGTGTGGTGACATACACATCTATAACCCCAGCAATGGGAAAGTAGAGATAGGATTCTTAGGGATCACTGGCCAGCTAGTGTAGCCTAGTTGGTGAAATCATGGCAAGCAAAAGACCCTGTGTCAACAAACAAACAAAACAAAACTCAAGGTGATGTCTCCTGAGGGACCATAGCTGAGGTGACCTCTGGTGTCCATGTGTATGCACACACGTACCTGTGTACTCTCAAGCATGCATGTACAACATACACATACAAAACTAACTCAAACTCATTACCTCCAAGAAGTTCAGTGAGTTGGGTCCAGTCTTTGCTTCCTTAGAGGTGCTTACCCACCTACCTTCAACGCCATGAGACAGAGAGAGCAGGCTGAGGTGAGGTCCCACCATCACTGGAGTTGTCCTCTGTAGTCAGTCAATGGTTCCTCTCCTCAATGGAGGCTCCTGATGGATTATGGTCATGTTGCAGAGCTTGGTTCTACAGGGAAGGATGAGCTCAGCCCTTTGATGCTCACTACAAGATGTTGTGCAGGGCACATGTCATGGCCACTAGAAAATGAGAGTCAGGCCTTTATGTTTCTTCTACAGCTGTTATTTTGTGGCACTATAAAAAGTTGGGTTTATGGTTATGGTTTTTATTTTCAAAATAAACCATGTTTTTTTTATTTTATTTTTCAGGCTTTTTGAGACAGGGTTTCTCTGTAGACTTGGCTGTCCTGGAACTGGATCTGTAAGACCAGGCTGGCCTGAAACTCAGAGATTCACCTGCCTCTGCCTCCTGAGTGCTGAGATTGAAGGTGTACACCACCACCACCTGGTTATAAACCATCTTTTAAAAAATATGTGTGTGTGAGCACATGCACTTGCCCATGTGTGTGAGTCACACTGGCTAGAGGTCACCCCAGAGATCTTCCTCAACAACTCTTTTCTTTTTATAAGACTTTATTTATTTTGGTTCTGTGTATTTGTGTCTCTGTGTGGATATGTGCGCCTATATGTGGGTGCCTGAGGAGACCAAAAGAGGCTGTTGGGTTCCCTAGAGCTGGAGTTACAGGCGATTGAATCACCAAATGTGTGTGCTGACAACTGGACTTGGCTCCTCAGGAAGCAGCCGGTGCTCTTCACCACTAAGCCATCTTTCCAACCTGTTCACCTTTTTTTTTTTTTTTTTGAGACAGGGTCTGTCACTGAACCTAGAGCTCACTTATTTGGCCAAGACTGGTTGACCAGCAAACCTCTGTGTCCACCTCCCCAGCACTGGGGCTGTAGACACACACTGACACACCTGGCTTCTACATGAATACGGGGGTCTGAACTCACATCTTTATTCTTTCAGGGTGAACACTTTACCCACTGGGCCTCTCCCCACCCCCCATCTTATTCTCTCTCTCTCTCTCTCTCTCTCTCTCTCTCTCTCTCTCTCTCTCTCTCTCTCTCTGTCTCTCAATAAGGTTTCTTTGTATAGTCCAGACTGTCCCTGAACTCACTCTGTAGCCCAGGATAGCCTCAAATTTACAGAGATCTGCCTGTCTTTGCTTCTCAAGTGCTGGGACTAAAGGCATTTACCACCATGACCGACTTCATCTTATTCTTTTAAAGATAGTTTAGGCATCTTATTCTTTTAAAGATAGTTTAGGAAAGATCCTAAAAATATTAAGACATGGTGGCAAATGCCTGTAAACCCAGCACCGGAGAGGTTAAAGCAGGGGGATTGTGAGTTCAGGATCAGCTTCGGCTTAATGATTTCAAAATCACCAATGAGGACAGCAAGGTGGCTCAGTGGGTAAAGGTACCTGCTGCTAAGCCTAATAACCTGAATTTGATCCCCAGGACCCACACTGTGGGAGGAGAAAACCCATTTCCTCTAGTTG